CTTATAATTCAACTATAAATACCCTAGCTCATTTAGTTTCAAAACCATCCCAAAGCATTCTAGCTTTCTTCCAATACTAGAGAGAATTTAGAGAGTTTCTTGAGAGTTGTTTTCTCCTTTTTATCAAGAGAGAATTATCATTGTTTTCTCCTTGGTAGATCGAGAGAGGTTATAATTCCTATTTTTCTCATAGTGAAATTCTTCTACCGTGGCCCGTGGTTTTTACCCTATATTATTTAGGGGTTTTCCACGTAAATTTTGTGTCTCTTTTATCTTCATTTTTATTTTCTCAAATTATTAGTTGCGATTTTACTCCATCTGATAGTCGTCTTCCGCAACATTTTATGTGATTATTGTTGTTGTGGTTTATGTTCGCTTGTTTTGTTCATTTATTTTCGTTTATTGTTTCGTTTATGTTCGTTTACATCCGTTAAACACTGTGGATTTAAACCATCCTTTGTATCTTCATCCCTCTGACACTCATGGTGATCCGCTCATCTCTTATCAGCTCGTTGCCATTGAAAATTATAGCATTTGGAGCAGATCTTTACGGATTGCGTTGCTCGCCAGTAATAAACTCGGGTTCGTTGATGGTGATTACAGAAACGAGGATTATTCAGTCAGCAATGAGCTCTCGGCAGGTATCATTTTTGCTAGTAATGCTACCTTGGTTTGGAAAGATTTGAAGGAACGATTTGCTAAAGTAGATGGATCTAAGGTTTTTTTTCCTTCACCGGGAAATTGCTCTCATGAATCAAGGGGATCCTGCTGTTTCGACTTATTTCACCCGATTGAAACTCTTGTGGGATGAGTATAATGCCTTGGTTCCCCTTTCTGTTTGTCATTGTGATGCTGCGCAACAGAATACTCATCATTTGGCTCAGTAAAATCTTATTCGATTCCTCATGGGTCTCAACGAGACTTATGCAGTGGATCAAAGTCAAATCCTCTTGATGCTGTCGTTTCTATCTGTTAACCATGCATATTCGATGGTAGTGCAAGAAGAGACTTAGTGTCTTCATCTTTCTGCCAATGTGTCTCTTAGTGAAGCTTTTGCTCTGTTTTCTACTTCGTCTGCTGGTAATCGTTGATAGTTTTCTAGAGTGTGTGATCATTGTAAGATTGGAGGTCAAAAGCGGGAGAACTGTTACCGGCTTGTGGGTTTTCTGCTTGAATTTAAATTTACCAAGAAGAAAGATTCACAGGATGTTTTGGTGGTTAACTCTGATTTGGTGGATAGTTCTGCTGTGAGATCTTCTGATTCAGGGAGTTCGTCTGCTACTCCAGTTTTCACCCAGGAACAATATCAACAGATTCTAAGTCTTTTGAACAAGCCACCATCAGCTGGTTCGAGTGTTAGTTCAGCAGGTATGGTTACTGAAATATACATGCTTCTCATGATTCTTTGCTATGGATCCTTGACACAGGTGCTACCGATCACATGATGTTTGATTATAAACATTTGATCTCTCTCATTTCGTGTGCTTCAGAATCAAGAGTGGCTATCTTACCCAATGAAAAACAACCCCGATTACTCACACTGGTTCTTATCGATTTAATCCTACCACTATTATTTCGAATGTCCTTTATGTCCCATATTTCACACATAATTTGCTTTCTGTTTCCAAATTAACCCGAGACCTTAATTGTCGTATTCTTTTTTACCCTGATCATTGTGTTTTGCAGGATCTCTCAAATGGAACAACGAGGGGGATTGGTAATGAGTCACATGAGTTGTATTTTTTTTTACTCCTCGAGTTTTGATTCTGGTTTGTTTTCTTCTGTCCATTGGAATTTTATTCCTTCATTTCATTCACAATTGAGTGATGTAGCTGAATTTTCTAGTGATAATGTTGACTCTGTATCAACCACTTGTTTACTTTCGATTGATAATAATACCAAGCTTTGGCATGCTCGTCTTGGGCATGCCCCTATTGCCAATTTACACCGTGTTCTTTTTTTAAAGACTGTTAGGTTGACTAATGACAAATTGCATGATTGCCCGGTGTGTCCTTTAGCTAGACAATCTCGCCTGCCTTTTCCTCTTAGCACTACTAGATCTGATAAACCTTTTCAATCGATACACTTGGATTTATGGGGACCTTATGGTACTTCTACTCATAGTGGTCATAGGTTTTTTTTTACCATAGTTGATGATGATTCTCGAATGAGTTGGGTGTACTTGCTTCGGTTGAAGAGTGATGTTGTCCTCTTCCTTAAAGAATTCCTTTCTTATGATCAAAATCACTTTTCCATGAATGTCAAATTTATTCGAAGTGATAATGGGACTGAGTTTTTTAACTCATTGTGTTCTCCCCTTTTTTCATCTCTTGGTATTATTCACTAAAGCTCCTGTGTGCATACTCCTCAACAAAATGGAGTGGCCGAAAGAAAACATAAACATATTCTTGAAGTAGCTCGTGCTCTTAGGTTTCATTCTAACATTTCTGTCAAATTTTGGGGAGAGTGTGTGCAAACAGCTTGTTACATCATCAATCGCCTTCTTCGGTTTTAAATTGGCAAAGTCCTTTTGAGGTTTTTTTCATAAGCCACCAGATCTATCTCATTTTCGAACTTTTGGGTGTCTTTGTAATGCAACCAACCTTAAGTGTTCTAGTAAATTTTCAGCTAGAGCTATACCTGCAGTATTCATGGTATATTCTTCTACGAAAAAGGGCTATATTTTATTTCATTTGGAAGATAAAGTTTTTTTTTGTTAGTAGGGATGTTAAATTCCTGGAGCATATGCCTCCTCAAAAATTGTCCTGTTTTTTCCTTCGCAGCCTTTATATTCTGATGCTGATTTTTTAGTTTCTTGCCCCCTCCTCCAAATGTTTCCCCTATCACAGATTCTTCTTCTTTCTCTCCTTCCCTTGACAGTGACTTTGTTTCAAATTCTTCACTGATTCCTATTCCTCAAGCAAGTACACCTGGCCCTGGTCTGTCCGTTTTAGTTACTAGTGATCCTGGTTCGAATCAGCCCTTGGTAGTTGACAATGTTCTTTGAAAATGAACCCATCCTTCTAAACGTCCCAATTGGCTTAATGACTACATGCACTCTTATCAATCTTCTTCCAGTTCCTGTAAGTATCATATTTCTAATTTTGTTTCCTATTCTCATTTGCCATCACATACTCAAGCCTTTATTTCAACTATTGCTTCTGTTTATGAATCTATGACTTTTCATGAGGCCATTCAAAATCCACTCTGGGTTCGGGCCATGAAAGATGAGATTGATTCCTTAGAATTAAACAATACGTGGTCTATTGTATCCTTACCTCCTGGCAAGAAACCCATTGGCTACAAGTGGGTGTATAAAATATAGGTCTGATGGAACAATTGAACGTTATAAGGCTCGTCTTTTGGCAAAGGGCTACAATCAAAAGATGGTATCGATTACAATGGTACTTTCTCTCCTGTCGCTAAGTTAATTAGTGTCAGACTTGTTCTTGCTTTGGCCTCTATTTTTCAGTGGAATCTTCATCAAATGGATGTTCATAACGCCTTTTTACAAGACAATCTTGCTGAGGAAGTGTATATGTCTCTTCCCGAGGGAGTCACAAGTCAGGGGGTGTAAGAGACTGTTTATAGCCAGGGGAGACTAGTTTGTAGGCTACAAAAGTCCTTATATGGGCTGAAGCAAGCCTCTCGGCAATGAAATATGAAGTTAACCGAAGCCTTGCTTTCAGGTGGATATCAACAAAGCAAACATGATTATTCGATGTTTACCAAAATGGAAGGATCCAAAATTGTCATTATGCTTGTATACGTGGATGACCTATTAATTACCGGGAATGATGAGCAAATGATACAAGAATTTGAGTTGTAAATTTAGAATGAAAGACTTGATAGCAGGGTTTCAAATCGCAGTCGCGGTCGTGTTTTCGGTTATTACGGATTTACCGTGATTGCGGCCGTCGCGGGTAACTCGGACTGCGGCGAAACCGCTATATCGCGGCCGAAATTACGGTCGCGGACCGTTTTTTAAAACCCTGCTTGGGAGATCTAAAGTACTTTCTTGGAATAGAATTCTTGAGGTCTAAAGATGGGATTCTTTTGAGTCAAAGAAAGTATACACTAGAGTTGATTGAAGATATTGGTTTGGGGGGTGCTCAACCGACAATAACACCTTTGGAACAAAATAAGATATTTACTACAGCAGCCCATGATGGTGATGGAAAGGTAAATGATGAAGATAAAGTGTTAGAAGATGAAACGACTTTTCAAAGACTCGTACTCAGATTAATTTAACCCACACAAGGCCGAATATCACCTATGTCGTACACCATTTGAGTCAGTTTATGCAGGGACCGAAGCGACCTCATCTATAAGCATCACTCAGATTGGTGAGATACATTAAGAAGAACCCAGGAAAATGGGTCATGCTAAGTGCAGCGAGTGAATGTCAACTAAATGCATTTGGTGACTCAGACTGGGCAGCTTGTCCCATGTCAAGGAAATTAGTCATTCGCTTTTGCATTAAATTGGGGGATTCTTTGATTTCTTGGAAGTCAAAGAAACAATACACAGTGGCCCATTCTTCAGCAGAGGCAGAGTATATAAGTATGGATTCAACGGCAGCCCTATAAATAGCTGCAAATCTTGTGTTTCATGAAGATACTAAACACATCGAGATTGATTTCCACTTTGCTCGGGAGAAGATTCAAGAAGGGATTATACAAGCAGATTATGTAAGTACGACCGAACAACAAGCAGACATTATAACGAAAGCTTTGGGAAGGCAACAACATGAGTATCTAATATTCAAGTTAGGGCTTAGAAATGTTTTTAGTCCCAACTTGACGAGGAGTGTTGAGAATTAGCTAGCTTATTTAATGTTGGTTCAATTTGTTATATTGCAGTTAGTTGATGATTAGTTAGTTCAGCAGTTTGTTACTTGTGTATAAATATATGTACAGATGATTTGTGAAGTAAAATAAATAAATAAATGAAATATTCCGCAAGTATTCTTTTGACACTTTTCTTCTAGTAAATTACTACGCGATAGAATCTAAATACTGTGGGAACGGGGACTCCACCGGTAGAAGAGAGTAATCTTGAGACTGATGAAGTAATGGAAGACGATCACGACCCTTCTGCACACGAGCCGTGACAGATTTCGATTACTGGATTGGATGAGGCTTTGATAAAGTCCATCAAGGCTTTTCAAATACAAAAAAGGTGATGGTTTGGTCTAAGGATCGGATTGCTTGGTCTGTCTCAACGATTTCCGAGATGATGAGAGTTTAAGGCTGTTGCCTAAATGCAGCCATGCTTTCCATCTCCCCAGCATTGATACATGGCTCAGGTCTCACTCGAATTGCCCTTTCTGTCGAGCTAATATAGTCCTTATTACTGCTTCAGAAGCGCCCCCGATGACCAAAACTCCTCCGGGGATCAAACAAGCATCAGCAAATGAAAATCTAGCCGATGAACAAGGTTCACAAAGACATGCTGAGTTTCCAAAGACTCCGTCGTCGCGTACTTTCAGTGATCTAAGAGATGCCGTGATTCGTATTAGAGACGAAGGTTATCATCAACAAATGAGAAGATCAATCTCCATGTATCATTTGTGCCAAACCCATGTATCAGTTGGGAATCAAGAGGGTGATGGAAGAGATGAAGAGCGCCGGTTCTCATCAGGTATTGCTGGTTCATCGAAACAACCAGGTGAAGCCTGTAAGGTTAGCAATAGAATGAGCGTGTTGCAATGTGCAATGAAGAGATCCTTTTCCAGTGGTAGATTGTTTCTTGCTAGGCAAGGAAGAGTAAGAGATTTATCCGTTCCCCTTTCAAATCCGCAGCTTTAAAGGGAAACAAATCATATTCACAGTTGCATAATCATGAATTCATGAAAAAGATGGAGATTGTTACATATGTAAATACTGTATAAGATGAAGCCTAAGTGAGAACTATACTCATCTTGTGAAATCGAAAAATGATTTCAATGTTTTTTTTATTTTCTCGTTTAGATCATGAAAACATTAGTATTTTGTTGGTAATTTTTCTTTTCCGATTGCTTATATTTCCTGCGTTTATCTGCTTGTGTTTTGTTTTTGAACCAACTATTTTAATTTCATTTTAGACAAAAGTTATGGTCCCATTTTTTTTCTCCCAATGATTCAATAGATGGGGCCAACAACAACAATGATAATAATGAATCTACTCAATTCACGGATTCTTAGAGATAGGGATGGGCGGGGTGGAGCAAGTGGGCGATCGTCCGCCTAAAAATCTAAAATTATCATATATTTTAAATTTTTATATATTTTTTTATTAAAAAATTGTTTTCGCCCTTTACCCCTAAAATTATATTCACCCACTTAAATTTTTTAAGTTCAAGTCCACCACTCTAATATAAAATCATGCGTCTGTCTCTACTTAAAGATGACAATAAATCATATTCAATATATTCAAACTTAATTTTTATAATATTATCCAGATAATTATCATCATTAATAAAATAATTCATTTACAATAGAGTTATTCAAATGAGGTAGTCATTTCATAATATTTTACTGAATCTCATAGAAATGGATACGTAAAAGAATAACCAAAACATTCATTAAACATGAGAAAATGCTATAAAACTAATTATAAAAGAATAAATTTATAAAACTAAAATTAAAACTTTTGCAAAACTAAGACTAGATAAAAATAACATTTTACATGACATCAACCAATTTTAGTGGTTAAAGAATTTATTGTTATATTCTTTAATTAAAATTGTATCATATATAATATTAGATAAAAAAATCACTAATGTATTTGTTTCAAGCAATAATGTTTAGTTCTAATTTAATTATTAAAGCAACATTCAAATAATGTTTTTTTAGAAAAGTGATATTTTTTTATCATATGAAATAATGATGTGCCCAACCCTGCAAAAACTTCGTTTTAATTGGTTGGAGAAGAAAGGCGCAAATTACTATTTACAGGGAACGGATGTAGGATTTTATGTTAGAGGGGCGAATAAAATTTTAGGGGGCGAAAATAGATTTTCAATAGAAAATATATAAAAAAAAATCTAAAATATATGATAATTTTAGATTTTTAGGAGCGACAGGTACATCCTAACTAATAGCGTCTCCTATTGAAAATTTTAGTAAATATTTGAAGAATCAATTGTGGCTGATGCATGCATGCATGAGACCTCAACAACGACCCCATTGACATTTAAAGGCAAACATTAAGTAGTAACATAGTTTTATATATTCACACATACTACTTCATTGACTCAAGCCTTCATACATACAATGGCAGTAAAAAAGTTGCAGAAACTCTTGAACATAATCCAAACCCAGACCCTAAAGTAAAAATGAAGAAAAAAAGTGGGTGGCATTTTGGTGATTTGGATCGATCAACACAAGGCAGTAGCATCTTCTTCCTCAATTATTCCGATCATGTGGTGAACTGCCCTTGCTATGTCATCTACTGAACTGAGTTGGCATCCTTCTTCAACCTGCATTCAGAATTTTCGAATTTTAGCCCAAAACTCCATGCTTTTCTTCAATCATACATGATGATAAAATAACTAAACAGAGTTGGTCTAAAATTACGGAAAATGACATTTTGCCTCTTCAAGGAGAAAAACAAAGTATACGAGAGGAAAAGACAGTATCTGCACATTCCCCCATATGACAATAATTGAAGATGACCATCTCTTTGTATTCGCAGAATGTCCGAAGAAAACCATACTATATGTAATAGCAGTAGCAAAACATATAATTTATCCCTGTGATTGCTATTACCTTGGCACTGATAGAGTAGAGGACTAATGGATCCATGGTGGTGACATTGAGGTGGAGGATGGAAAGGTAAAGTGATTGGAAACCTGCAATAAGCTTGGAAAGTTGCGGGGGACCTTTTCGTGAGAGGATTCGAAGATTGGCATGAGTTTCGATCAATGTCACCTCAATATCCGCCGTTGATGCCTTGGTCTTTGATGTGTACCCGTTAGGGATCTGAGACCAGGTGTACTGTGGATGCATGAAAAACTGTGCAAATGGTGGTGACGACGACAACAGTTTGGTGTTGGTGTTGGTGCTGCTGTTTTCTTCATCGGCAGCAGCTTCTGATCTTACTTGTTGCAGTACCCGAAGCTTTTCAGATTCAAGGGTTTGCAGAAGATGCTCAAGCTCCTTCACAAACTCTATGGCACCACCAACTATGGATGCTTGATCACCCTACACATGCAAAAAAATAGTCTCATTTATGTTAAACACAGGCAAAAAGCTCATTTGCAGTATCCTTGATCTTACCATTTACCATAATTTAGAGGAACAGCTTTTTCTTTCTATGATCCCACTTTTTTCATGACTAGCAGACAAAAGAATAATCCAAAGAAAAGCAAAAGGCAATAATAGATTTCTTTTAAAAATTTGCCAATTCTAGTTCAAACTTTTACCTTGACAAGCTCTGATGGATTTTTGCAGCAACATGTTGCTAAACTATTATTCAACCTTTTTCTTTTTAGTCTGAACTATTATTATTCAACTTTAGACTTCAATCAGTCCAGCTTTCAGTACTGTAGTGAATCACATGAGAATTATGTTTCTCTTAAGCATTATCAATTAGTTTGGGGTTTTTCTTAATGCAAAAGGGCCCAACAACCCATGAACTAACTATGCATGTATCAACAATCCAAAGATTAAAAGATGAAATGAAAGGAAGAAGACGATACCCTTTGGACATAAGATTCAGGCATGAGCGAGCGTAGAACAGCCAGATGTTCATTCATTTGTTTTCGCCTGTTTCTCTCAACAGCAATGTGAGTCATTCTTTGAGTCTCAGCCTCTTCTTTGTTCTTGCAAACCCTCGGCTTTCTCCTCCTCTTTTTCCTCCCTTTAACGGCCAGGTTAGTCCTCCGCTCCGCCGCTGGCGAGCGGCTGCATTGTGGATGAGGAGTCGCCTCCGTTGGAGAGCAATTCAAAGCGGTACTTCTAGCTTGTTCTTGGGAACTGAGACTATTTTCCATTGAAAAAGTAGTGACGAAAGAGTCATTGCTGCCGTATGGGGTTGCAGATATAGTATCATAGATAACGAAGTTAAAGAGCTCGTTAGAAGAAAGGGTTTCAAGCGTCATTTCTCTAAAATCTGCGGAAGCACAAACAATATCAACTGCAATTCTAATTTCTCCAAGACACAAAATTTGAGAGAGGAAGAGAGAGAGAGAGAGAGAGAGAGAGAGAGCAGGCGAGGTTGAAATGAAGGTGATTTTTGGTTTTTGAAGGGTAAATTTAAGAGGTTTTTTTTTGAAAAATTTATATTCAAGAGGTTAAAATGAGAGATACGGGACACGTGAAAGGGGAAAGAAAGAAAGAAAAACAGTAAACCCTCTTTTAGATTTAGGGTTTGTCTTCCCGATTCTCATAGATGCTGTCAGCACTGGCAATGGAGGGGGGTCCAAATCTATATAGAAATATGCATACCAACAACACAAAAACCAGCTGGTTAAAAGCTACTCTTCATTTCAACATTCAAATCTGTGTGAATGGACTTGGCTCAAAGCACTCACTCTAGATTCTCCATACACAATATATATTTACATAATTATCATGCGCTTGACAAATGACAAGCCATGGGTTTTCTTGTTTGGTTTCATGGAAATTGGGTTTTACCTTAGCCATTTATCATTCGACTTGCCAATGATCGGAAACATGCAAGAAAAATACATATGGAAATGTGAGAATCTGCAGAGTACTGCAAAAACCCATGATGCATAGGCTAAGGTTAAAAAAAGACGTGATTTTTTAAGCACTTTCATGAATCATCATCACCACCCCCAACCAAACCGTGATGTCAATTATCGACACAGCAGCTTTTGTTGCAAGTGATCAGAAATCCATGAAATGGAAGCTGCACAATGGTCTAGCCATTTAGCCTCCCGTGCATATCCCTTCCCCACTCGATCTCTGTTCATGCACCAGCAAATCCTCTTATACATGTATATGTATACAGTATACTTTGGTGTATATATATGTCAATATCCATCAAGTGAAGCATCGAAAGAAAAGTGCCAACAGAAATATATACTCACTTATTGCTCATGATGAACTGATATTGCTAGTTTGCATCAAACATCAAAACAATATCAAAGACATATCAACACATTACCAGAACATGAAAACAATAATATGGTGCCTTATTTTCAATCAAAACCCATCATTAATCTTCAATTTTCCAACCAAAACAATAATGTTTTTCTTGTATAACTTGGCCACAGAGGGATGTGGGATTATGCCCTTAAGTACGGTGAAGAGGACTGATGGAGGTGGACCAGTCATGGACCAATTTTGTCTGACACATTGCAGTGTAATCCATGTGACCGTCAGCTTAATATACTTAAAAAGTAGTACAAAATTTCTGCAATCTTCCATAATCTAATCTCTTACCTTTTCCCTTTTTGTCTGCTTTTACCTCTCGTAATTCATACTGATTGGGCTAAGCTTTGCCTAGCTTTCCTCTCTGCTAGTCTTTTAGTTCTTTTATACAAATATAAGTCGATGTCTACACTCTACACCTCATATACTACAATAATATGTACGATTACCAGTAAACATCTATATACTAAAGTTGTAGCTTCTACGAAATGTGTTAAGTAATATATACATATGCATTTCCATGTGCATGATCATGGTCACGATCGATATTTTCTTACATGCTTTGAAGGCTTAACGCCTATCAAATGTCACCATCGTCTGGTATGAAAACGATGATGTTATACATAAATTGAATTTGAACATTATTCTCTTTTACTTTTTGGCTTTTCTTTGTCTATTTTTCCCTTTTGTGGGCCATCAATCGTGACACCTAGCATCATTGTAAGCATTTACAGTTCACCTATGGTGGATGGTATGGTCATACATAGATTTTTTTGTCTTTTGTTTTGGTCATATATAGAATTTTCAGTGCTTTTGAAAATGCCTTACTAGCAGTAGACAGGCAAGTCGTGTAACAGGAAATTTGTAAACTTGGAGTAAATTTTTACTCCATGGTAATCTCAAAAATTACCTGCTTTTTGTGTGAACTATAAAGAAAAGTATGAAAATTCTCCTGTTATTAAGTTGCTATATTTGTTGTAATCATTTCACCATGGGTGCATATCTCAATAGACGGTTAACAGTGAAATGCATGCACTTGCTGTAAATTTTGGATTGCTGCTTGATACATACATACATACATACACATATATTTATGTATGTATGTATCGGAATTTCCTAACACAACGCAATGCTTGCTGTAATTTATATCAAAATTTCGTACGACAATGTAAAGATCCAAGTGTCTTTTTTATCTTTTATCCATGTTGATATCCTCCGCGAGTCTCCGATGCTTCGATGGAATGGCTGTTCCTGTCGTTCGAGGGGTTCGTGAATTCACCAAAGACAATGCAACTTTTTACAGCGTGGTGTCCCCTAACAAGTTTTATTTTGACTTGGTCTGGCAGTCGAAGAGTATATCTATCATCTTCTCTATTCCTACCTATGGAATGCCCCGTGGAATGTGACCTTGAAAAATTTTCCATCCTTTCACGTCTCCTAAGTTGTTCTTCTCTTGCACTTGAAGTGGCTTCTGCTTCGTCTTCTGCTCGGTCGACTTTGTCGTCATTGTCGTCTTTAATGTTGATGCAAACGGAATCTTCTACTGAACTTTGATTCGTTACCATTTCACGCATGGAGTTGCTACGAACAAACAGAGGGGATTTCTCAAATGATTTCCTAGGCACATCAAATTCCCCACGACAAACCGGACAAGTTTTATGAGATTCAAGCCAAAGATCAACACACCCTTTATGGTAAACATGACAACATATCGTCAAAAGTTGAAGCATATCGTCGTCATTAAACTCTTCCAAACAAATCGCGCATTCTAGGCCGTACTTTTCGCTTCGAAACTCCTTGACAGTGGAATAATAGAATGTTGGAAAAGCTTGTATTAGTTCAGGATCAAGGCCGTTATTCATAATTTCACCTTCCGTGGAAGCTATATCGACTGGAGGTGAAGGGCTACGCCGATTATGCCATATGCGTAGAAGAATCTCCACCATACATCTACAAAAGTATAATGTTAAGAAACGAAGAAGAACGAAACGAAGAAGATTACAGCTATGGTTATTGGTGGTGGCAAGTTGAAGTATGGTGAGAATGGTTTGGCATAACCGGATGACGGTGACAGAGAAATGAAAAGGGCAGCAATGACTGGAATGTAGATCGCTCCGGCATCATAAATTTTCATCGACGAGTGGAAAAAAACGAGATCTCTGTTAGTTGTTGCGGAGAAAGAAGAGAATAACAAGGCAGCATGTCAATGTGTCAATATGAAAGCTAATGCTTGGTAAGCATTATATTTATGGTTATTGAGCGAGTCCTTTGTGTGACTTGCTCTGTTTACTAGTTGATTATTCAAACCACAACATTCCGTATTTAGTATTTGGTTACAGGCAGTACTCTGTTCTGGTTCTGGTTCAGGTTCAAGCCAAGTACCAAAGTATCCTGTGCTTTTAATACTAATCCATCTAATTAGTTGGCTAAACATGAGAGTTAAGAAGATTTTAACTTGGAATTTTCTTTTCCTGGAGAGGCTGTGACTGCAAATTAGCTTGCAGTTAAAGGTTTCTGCAAATGATAAATTTAGCAAAATGGAAATAAGTTCTTTTTTCAGATTATAAGTGCCATTTAATTCATATTTGATAACAAGGACAAAGTCTACAACAGTCGTACAAGCTTCATATTCCCAGCCAGGGAGGGAATATTCATACTTAAAAATTATGCAGCCGAGATGTGAATAAGCTCGAGGGTACATGACACAACTGTCCTAGGAATATCTAAAATTATTCACTTTCCCAGGATAAGTTTCTTAGTGTAAGGAATTTCATCTCTCATCTCTCAGCACTCGGCTCTTGGTTCCTGAAAGAACGGTGTTTATTCAATATCATCGATCCAGTCACCGTATATCCGACTGATTTTATCCGGACCTTTCCAATTGTGGAGAGTTCTTTGTCCTGGCTTCTGGAGTACGACAGATGTTCACTGTGAAGGAACTCCAAGATGATAAACATCTGAATGTGGAACTGAAGGGACTAATGCAGATATAGTATCTGTAAGAGTCTTTGAAGGCACTCCTCCCACTTGCTTCAAATCAGAAGGGGCAGCAGAAGAATCCTTAACCTCTGTATCCGCAACCGAACCTCCGTATCGGTGTAACTCTGCATTCACAAAAAGAAAAAAAACATATATCCCTATAGCAGCAGGAGACCAAAATCCATATAAAGCTTATTTCCATCAAATAAAGTACATGCTAAAGCACAGAAGATACCCACGACTAGCTGAAAACTACAAATAAACAACAAAAACATCTATCAGGTTAGCTACTCATCAATGGAGCACCGGCTTTAAGTTAAATTCAAAGGTAGAACTGCGACGAAGGTTCTCGAATTTCAAAGGCACGACAACAAGAAGGCTACAAGCATATGCCTTCGGTAAGTAATAAGTTCATGATTCTCAAACAAGTGCATATTACCATGAAAACAGTCCAACATCAACTAGCATCCAATTTGCATGATACTCATTGATAAAAATGTATGGCAGCCATTCAGGAAAAAGCAAAATCCCACCGGTTTTAAATTCGAATTCTAGCCACTTCAAAACAATAGCTATAGAGAAGCATACTAACCAAACAGACGATTCTAGCATACTCGAGGGAGAGCTAAAAAAAATGTATACTCGAGGGAACTGAAAATTACAGGTACTTGTACTTAAATAGGAGCTTTTCAGTTGACAACCATAAATGCTTCCCATAACTAAATCGATTACTCAATCAATCAACGAATAAACCATACCTGCAGTTCCATGAGCAAAATGACATTTATTTCCAAATGGGCAGTAACCAGTAAGTTCCCACTTATTACAAATCCGGTCTTCCAATTAGATGGCTTAACACTCGAAACATTCCCGCCACCGCCACCACTAGCAGCAGCAGCACCACCACCACCTCCTCCCCCACCACCAGTCCACCACCACCACCGTACCCTCCAGGTCCTAAACTTATACCTACACTCTCTCCATTCTTCGACTGCTCGTCGTGAAAAAACGTGCAACTATCACCATAAGGACACCCTTCCTCTGTATAAAACTTCTTGCAATGCCTTCCCTTATACGATCTCTGCGTTTCCCATGAAAAACTATTAGACC